TGGTGGGAATAATAGGTAGCTTTGAGGGTCTTTGGCATGGAAAAACATCTTTAAGATTTTAGTTTAGATTGTGAAAATGATGTGCTCAGTTCACTTTTTATTTAGCATGCTTAAGCAACCCAGCTTTAATATCTGGAGCAAATACTGTAGGAAAGAAGCACCAGAATGGCACATTGTGATAAAGTGAACTATACCATGTGATGTAAACGACTGAAGCCTGAAAAAACAAACTGAAAGGCCTCAAACTCGGCCGTTTCCTCTGTTCTATAACACTGGAACAACGTGTTCCACTCGCTGACTTTTTGATTGTTCTCTGGTTTCAGGCCAGCAAGATGCATGTGCGTTCAGCTCAAGTGGCGCAGGACGAGGTGAGTGGGCACCAAGTCTGGAAACTTTTCTTATGCTGTCTGTCCTCTTTTTATATATATATATATATCCTTTCATTTCCTGAGCTGAGCCAATTGAATCAGCTTCATTTTCATATAAACTTGAGTCTACGAGGCCATTTCTCAACCAGATTCTTTCTGGCCCTAGGTTATGTAAAAAGTAATGTGATGTCCTACTGTACTGTGGCATTTTGTTATTATATATTAAATGGCTGTGTATAAAAATCAATGCATTGCCCACACATTAAATGCACGAGGATGTGGAGGTTTGTTCTGTGTTAATTATCCAGTTGAATTGGATATGTCTGATGTATCTGGCAGGAAATCGCCCGCTTGTTAATGGAACAAGAGAAGAAGGAGTACAGGAAGAACCGAGATCGGGAGAAAGAGCGGGAGAAAGAGCAGGAGAAGGATAAAGACAGGGAGAGGTATGCCCAGGAGAAGATGGCATATGAAAGGGGGCGACCAGAGGGAGACTACCGGGTAATTTGCTCTAACCAAACTCATTTTAAAACATTTGCTTTTGGGTGAAATATCTTTGCAGTTTTAGAAAACGATTTTTGTTTCCACTGCGGTACTGGAACCATCATTTAAGAAACCATAATTTGTGTTGGTTTCCAGCCCAGCTCGGAGGAAGTGGTCCGGCCCAGAACACGAGACGAGCAAGAACACCAGCGGCAGAGGCACCACAACAAGCCCTCCAGGTACAGACTCATTTCTCTTAACACCAAATATTTCCAGTCAGTCAAGAAACACAATTATCTCATTAATGTTCTGTCTCTGTTTTTCTCCGTCTGTCTCAGGCCTCCCCAGCCTCGTGGACAGGACTATGAGAACGTGAATGCTGGCTACGGCTACTCGGACCATGCCCCCCCCCCGCGCTCCCACCAGACCCGAGGCTCATATCAGAGGTATGTTAACATTACAGCTTAGTATTTTACTAAAGTGTATCCTTTTAAACCTTCAAGTGATTGTATTTTTGCTTCAAGAATGGTGGACTGTCCTGACTGCACATATTCTGTACTACTGTAGAAAGTAGTGTTGATTTTGAATTAGCTAAAATAACAATTAAGACAATAAATGTTCTCAACTCACACACCTTCCCATAATGTATATAAAAATGTGTTGATATATACTGTATATCAGTTGAGTTGTGGCTTTTAGATAATGGCGTTATTTAAGCAGCTGGGAATGAAAAATCATAGAAAAATCTTCCAATATTGCTAAAAGGTTTTTATGCTTGGCTGAGTTAGAAAAGTTGGTGAATCGATGAAAGCAAATTGCGACAAAGTGCAATAGAAACCGATTTAGAGAATAAATGACGTAAATAAAGCATGTGACTTTTGTCCACTGAAGCTTTTGTCACCCTGAAATGACTTTTGTTGCATAAAGAAAAGACTGCAACAATTAATTGAATGTCTGTATAGCTTTTGACTACTTTTCTTTCAATTGACTTGTCCCTAGCTCTGCTTCAATGAACAAATACATGATCAAGTCCTAATCAGGGAATGCTTGTTTTTACAGTGCTGTTTTTAGCACCCAGGAAGAAAAGATCAAAGTTTCCTTTCTCGACGAGTTGACAGTTAAGAGCTAACGGGGAATACAGGGGGGAGAGGGTACAAGTAGGAGATGCTGCTGCTTAAAGTCTGAACCTTTAGCTCTACGCACACGCCCCGGGAAGTTATATTTAACAAGCGTGGTTTATGTTTCAAGGGAAAATATAAGAGTTATGTGAAGAAACCAAAAGCAGAAGTACGTTCCGGATCTCAGAGAAGACGAACTGATGTCTGAAAGTTGCAGTGCAGAAACACTTAGATGCAGCGTGACGTGTCAGTGCTGATAGATCTGTCTGTCCTCCCTCTCTGACAGGTGCCTATTACAAGCGGTGACTCCGGCTCTCTACCCTGTCCAGACATGCTGTCAGTCCTCCTTCGTCCTTTATTTAGTATTTATCTTTTTGTTTTACTCTCTGTTGACCAAAAGCTTGTCGGCAATGGGATTATTTTCTCTCTCTTTTTTTTTTTTAAATACCCTCCAAAGTTGGCCCGGAGTTAGGTAAGTGGGTCTCTGAGTGATGCAACTACACTCATCTGTCCCTTTTTTTTTATTTGTAAATTGTGTTATTATTTCTTTTAACTGACTCAACATCCAGACAAGCCAAAAGCCTTGTGACACAAACTCCCCCTGATTCTTAGCTGTCAAAAAGTAGAGGCTCCTCCCCTTCTGTGGTCAACATGTGCTGATGCTCCTGTCATCACAAGGGCTCAACGCCTCTGCTGGATATGACCGTGCAATCTCCAAATTCCTCTCATGGACGTGCCTGCCTGGTCCAACACGGCTGCTAGTGTCTTACATACCAACATGGCAGCTGCTTTATACCTCATGCTGCAGTTCTGTTGTCTTATCATGCTGTGCTACGAGGCTACAGGCCCTCTCCATGTGCCACACAGCGTACCACTGCTGTTATTCAAAAATAAGCCTTTATCAAGATGCTGGTAGTTTTGCTTCGACATGTTTTACCACCTTGTTCCAGTGCAGAGGAGGTGGAGCTTTGTGATGATCCATGGACTTTTAATTGGCTGTAGGCTGTCTTCTTCCGCTTGTGAGGGGCACTTTTTAGCCCCATCACCCTTAAAACTGTGGATGGATGATATTCTGTGTATGACTCACTGTTTCTATGTGCATGCTTACTGAAAGTGTACAACTGTGTACATGCATTTCAGCTCTATACCAAGTTATCTGGCTCCCTCTTTATTGTTAAAGCCACAAAAAGCCAATAATATCTCTCTCTTTGTGAATGAACAAAATATCTTAGCTCATATGCTGCTGTGAAATATATCACTTTCCTGCCATTATTTCGTATCAGCTTGTCATTCACAAACTGGCCCATAAAAGAACCAGTACCCAAATGAAATGCATGTACATTGCTTGTCTGTGTCAAAGCTGAATTCATGCTTGTGCTTAAACGCACTTGTTGTGGGATTGAATATACGCTCTTTTATTTAAATGTAAATATCACATTTTTGTTTCTTTTTTAATTGTGCCACCAAATTATGTTCCCTAGAGTGAAAAATACAAGATTCTCTCACTAGTCCCTCGGTCGTGTGTCCAACGTTTCTTTCTTTTTTTAAATAAAGGGACCCTTTTTATTTAATTTTTTTACCACTGTTTTGTTGGTTTTTCCGATTATTTTGTTTCTTTCATTTCCATTCCTCAAAGCTTTCCCGCAGTAACTTCGATCTGCTTCTTTGTCTGAAGCTCAAAGGCAGCCTTCATTTCCTGCTGGTAGAAAAACAAACATTCCCACAGTGGAAGTGCATCTGGATGGAGGGAAATCGGTCAGAGGATCAGTTTAAATAAATATAACTGCTCAAAGGGACCTATTTTAGTGTTTTTATTACTCTGGGATCCATTATTTTCTGTTCATATTGAATAATAAGGATGTTAAGAAAAGTAAAAAGCACATTCATGCTTTTGAGTTTACCGAAACGTTTGTGATTCTGTCTTTCCAACATTTAGTGCTGCCTCCAAGTCCTCCTGTTGTATTAAAATGTCTTCTTCCAAAATGATTCCCTCCCTGTTCAGAGAAAGTGTAAGATGTTTGTATTGCCAAGGACAAACAAGCAGGTGTTGTTGAAATATGATATGTGCTAGTTGCTGTTGAAATAATGAGATTCGTGCCATATGTTTGTAATTTTTCAGGGACTTGAAAATGGGAAAAACGTAGAGTTGTGGTTGTAGCAGAGAAACCACACCTACCGAGGTGGGACTCCTTATTTATTATTTGGTGAGAGCACCACCTTGTGGACATGTTGACAATTGAAGAAAAAAAAACACAAATGATATCTGATTGGAGTCTTAGTGAACTTGTGGATATTGTGCATCAGACATTATTTTGGAATAGAGTGCTGTCAACAAAGTGCTACAGTACATACATATTTTTCTTTAATCCAGGGCTTGTATGCAATCTACCAATCAGCACATAATGTGTTGGCATTTGCTGTAACAGATTTTTAAAGTAAAACCAATGAAGTTGATTTTACCTATAGCATCTCAAAATGTAATAAACTTCAGCATTTCCACCGTTTGTGCATTTGACTCTTTTCATTAAGTCACATTTTGGTCACTAATACAAAACACGCAGTCAGTGATTTTTCCAGTAAAACAGGTTTATGCCTTAATTCACCCTCAAGAAGTACCTTAAGGTTTCTTTAAGTCATTTATATCCATACTTTAATTTCCAGAATGTCCCCTAACCACAAGACACTACCGGTAGAACGATAGACAAACTGCCCACAACGGCAAAAATGTGTTTTAATATTCTCTTCATTTGAACTCTCCCTCCTCGCATTGACCTGCTGACGCGTTTCACCCTGAACAAATCTACATTCCAAACTAAAATACCTCAACATTAATTAAATCATGCTAGATTTGTGTCACACCCATCTGACTCACCGGTAATGCTGGTCAATATTCACACAAGTTAGGTCTGCATCTCAGCAATACCAAAAAAAGGGATCCCAGTTTGAAGAGACCTGTTGACCCCAGCTGTTAGTGCATACAAATGTTACTTACACCATATAGCTAAAAGATTAGTGAGACACAAACTCTGTATACAGTATTAAGTGCTTTCCAAGCGTTTATTGATCATGTTTATTTCTGTTGTAACAGATACACAAGTGTACATTTAATACAAGCCAACATGCAATCATTTTCTTTAATCGACAAAAAACAAATACTTTGATCCAGGACATTTTCTTGCATCTCTTTACCTGTGACTCATCTATCATGTGCTCAGTGGATTTATTGTGCAATAATTCTGTCAGGTAGTCTTTTATTGACAGCATTTTTAATAAACCATGCCAATCTCCAGGAAAGTACAGAGTCACACCCTTCATCTGAGAAAAGGCTGAGTGGATCTGGTTCACCAACATACCTGACATTCTGATGCCTGCTTGCATGTGGTAACACCGCGGCCATGCCCTCAGTGAGAGATGTCACAACCAAACTACTGGAGCTACACCTCCACAACCAGTAAAGTGGCTGCTGTAGAGATTAAAGGGTTTTCAGACCAGACAAGTAACCTGTCCCACTCCCAGAGTCCTCAAAACAAATTAAAACAGTCAGATGTGTTAAAAATGAAGATTAGAAATTGTTTAACTATAATATCCATGCAACTCTAGATATTGTACAATTCTACAGTCATGATGCAACATTTAGGCTATGCTGTCCAGACAGTTTAGCTCAGCAGTGTTTCAGGCTGGCATCCATTTCAGTTTTACATTTGTTTTACTTTACCAAAATAGATTTTCCACCTCAACCTGAAAACGGCTGTGGATCAAACATAATAAATCATCCATAACTCCATTGTGTCAGCTTTAGTTGGCATTGATGTAGCCTGCCTTACACACACGACCAGAAACAATGACTGAAATTTTTGAGCACATAAATACCCAGGCAAAGTTTCCAGCTGTGCGGATAACAGAAATACTGCAAAACCCTGCGAAGAAAAACAAAAGTTATGTTTAACGATATCAAGTTGTGCGTCACACAAGTAGGCTACACGTTTGAGCGTGTTTTCTCAGACGGGCTGCATCACAAAATAGGCAAAATTACACACAATAATCTTACACACACAACTGCAAGCAAAAACATTCACAATACTTTCCTCAAACTCGATTGATATGAATCATTTGACGCATCACTGTGTGCCAATCTGCACCGCCGCAACAGGTGTTTGCGCCGAAAAGTGCACAGAACACGGTGACTGTTGCATAACAGAATAACACGTTTTCACAGGTAATTGAACTCACCTGTCTTCCAATCACTCAGGTAGCACGAGACTAATGAACGAGCTGCTTTATTCAGCGCGAGGGTGGAATTCATTCTGAGGACTGAATGTCTTTTCCGTGTCTCACCTGGCAGGTAACAAGGTGAGTGCAGCTGTCTGTCAACTGCAGTGTGCCGTGTTAAGACACGAAGACGCACCCACTTATTAGCGAGAGAGGGAGGGAGGGGAGGGGGGGCGAGAGAGAGGGAGGTTTCTGTCTATCCTGGTCAAGTGTCTATCAAAACGTAACTCGTATATAAAAAGGGGGGGGAAGCAAGTGTTTCAGCTTCACTATTTGATATCACTTTTTTTTTTAAACGTGTGATCCTATGACTTTCATGTATTTTCTCTCCCTCTCTCTATGTCTCTCTCTCTGTCTCTCTCTCGGCCTGATGAAGCCTAGGGCGCATCTTCAGGAAAAACCGGTGGAGGGAGTCAGATAACTATTTGTCAGAAACTCAACTGATCCAACCCTCAACTAAGGTCTGCCTCATTTTCATGGGAGGGAATCATTACCACAGTTACTGTACAGATCAAAATACAACTCAAGGAAACAAGAAAAGTTAAATTAAGGGAACACAACATTTATTTTCTTTTTCTTTTTTAACTGAGCACTTATTCAAAAACTTTGGGAAAAAAAGTTGATCCACTAGTTTTGTTCATTCATTAACCTTGCATAATGATTCTGCACATCTCCATACTCTCAATAAATATATAGTCATTGCAAACCTATTTTGTAACGTTTTTTTGTGAGTTGAGTTGTTGTGATCTCGTCTGTCTGTCTGTCTGTCTGTCTGTCGGTCTGTTAATCCTACACAGAAAGGATTGCATATAGAGCTGCCTCTTTTCCTAAATAAATTGTAAATTCAGATAACAATTCAAATGTAGGTAGCCCTGATTGTATCAATACTAATGAGAGAGGTATAGCACTCATATTTGTGCTCATATGCTAATCTCATCTATTCACTTTTTAAATGGTTCTTAACTTCCTGCATGAACTTAATAAAGTTATGAATGGCTCTCTAACAGCCCTTGAGTGTCTGTGACATTTTGACATAAGGTTGAAATATAGCAGCAGAAAAGTGACAGCTGTTGAAGGCGGCCATGTCGACAAAGGGAAATATTCTCAGGATTAGGTGTAAAAATGGAGCAGGCGGTTGGGCCCGAGGCTCCGTGCTGTGCCTGATGCAGGAATGACATCGGACTGGTTTAGAGCTGCACCAAGGCCCATCGTGCAGGGAGTCACCCTTGTATGCATGCCAAGGTAATCCTCAGGTGCTTAGCTTGCACAAAAGGACCCATTACAACTGAAATCATTTTAGGATATCGATCCATTGGAACAGTTTTAAAAGTAAAATAAAACCCAAAGAGGTGGATATAAGAACTACAATATAACTTAATGGTTGGTTGGTTGGTTTGTTTGTTAAAGATAAAGAAATGATACAGGAAGGACATTTCAAAAAGTTTACTTGTCTTTCAGTCATCTGCACTTTGACACTTAGACAAAGAAACAGAGGTGCAAATAAATAAATGAAGTATGTTTCGCTTCAATTTAGCTGCTTCAGTTTCAGGGCTGTGTGTGATGGCTCATTTGCACACTTGCTGGGACATTTGAATAAAACATAGCCTATGTTAATGTTATAAGTCACATCGGGGCTTTTCCTACTACAAATCAAAATATCTGCATGATGGGAAAAAGGTTGTGAAAACACAATCTGGGTCCTTGCTTAAAAGCTTTAATATAGCTCACAGGTTAGTTGCAACTCTCTTTTGGAAGACTTGGAAAATATCATGTTGTTCATTTGTAAGAGTACCAATAAATAATGAGGACCACAGCCCCTAACCCTCGTGTTCAGTGGGAAACATATTGTACAAATACTTGTGTGTTCAGAGGCCTTGCTTTCCGACCTTAGATGACCCTTGTGGCAAAACTACTGACAATACAGGAAGTCTCTCTTCCATCCACTAGGAGCAGCACTGAGCGGCTCCTCAGGTGGAACAGAAGAAGAACCTGCTCCATCTTTGATTTTACATGCTGCATAGAACTTAATGGAAAACCCCTCTCTGTGTGTCAAAAGTAATCATGAATACTCAGGCTTTTGATTTGCCTAACATAAGTACTCCTGCCATAAATGTAGAAAAGAAGATGGCCTACCTTCTGGTGAGTTTGTTTTTTTAGTAGTTTTCTGGTAACACACTTTATGAATGCCTGCACTGAGTGACTGAAATCCCCACCAACAAGAATACAAAAAACACATTTAAGACAGTTGAAAAAAAAAGTCCACAGCAAGAGGCAAACCCATCTTCAGCTTATGCCTATGGTTAATTTACAGTATACTCTCAGTACTTGCCTCATTTGTATTTGTACAAACCAAACACACATTCCTTACAGGAAAATAACATTTGTACTGTAAATTCATTGGCATTGAAACACCTTTTGGACTGCAGCCATTATTAATGTTATGAGTTACACCCCTGTCTGACAATTTCAGATTTCTTTTTTGGGCAAGGCTCTCTAGCAGTCAGTCTCCAGCTCTATAAAAAACAATTGTGACATTTTTTAACTCACATTATAACAATGTGACAGTGAAAATTATAAAATACAGTATCTAAAAGAACTTACTATTTAACATTCAAAGGTAACAATGACAGTTACAGTACAGTCAGAGCCTTTCTTATTATTCCTATTTGAATCCCTTGTTAAGCGATTCATTCATCAACAATAACAAGTATTGTAGTACAAGTATTGTATTATGTTATAAAAGCATATGCTATTTGTGTTGAAGAATATAGGTGTAAAGAAATGACTGGGATCCAAACGTTTAACTACAAAAATGAAAACCCCAAGGTCCTCTATCAATACAATTGAAATGCTTGTATTGTTATAGTTTAGTCGTGTTAGACCTAGTCAAAGTCAAAGTCTTTTTGTGTTTTGACATTACGCTTTTGCCCGGGTCTCAAAAAACTACTAACTACTACTAACTATGAGTGTAACATTGAAGTCATCTTGTAACAGGTGTCTCATCTCGTTGGGGTTGTGTTGCAAGAGCCACTAGATGGCGTCTTCCTTATGTTTTCCACCATGCATCCTCACCTTGATCTCCACCAATACTTTCCAACATGTGAAACTGTATTTTGGTGTTTTTTATTACATGGGTTTTCTTAATTATTGTTTGAAATACTTGTTGACTTACTTATAAAGTTGTAACCATCCGTTCACTGCTGCTGTTTGAGAAAATGTGTTTATTTTGGTCACGTTCTACAGACATAATAGGAAGGCTAATGACTTTTAACATACTTTCGATTTCGTCCTTTCCTCTGAACTAAACACATTTTTGGGTTCAATTAACGATGCCTCACTGCTATTCCCAGAACAGAGATTACACTGTAACTTCTCCCAGATTTCGGCTTCCTTCTTTTGTGTGATGATGGCAAGCATCGCTCATTATTTGCAGGAAAGCATGCTTAGCAACTGCCAAAAATAAATGTAGGGAGTCATAGAATAGGGAGGGATGAAACCCTCTTTAATGGTCACACATGCAGAGCACACAGCACACAGCACACAGCACACACAGTGAAATTTGGCCTCTGCTTTTAACCCATCCTAGTACAAGGAGTCTAGTACTAGGAGCAGTGGGCAGCTATTGTACAGCGCCCGGGGAGCAATGGGAGTGGGGGGGAAGGGGGGTGTCCGGTGCCTTGCTCAAGGGCACCACGGCAGGGCAGGAGGTGAACTGGGACCTCTCCAAGTAGAAGTCCACACTCCATATTTAGGTCTGGTCGGGGACTTGAACCAGCGACCCTACGGCTCCCAGTCCAAGCCCCTACTGACTGAGCCACTGCCGGTCAAACGCTAACTGTGGCAACATAAAGTAATCTTAACAGATAACTATGACGATAGCTTGTTGCAATGTAACAGGTGGTGGTGTGATATTTCTAAGAAATGAAAACTTTACCCTAGATTTGTGTTGACCTTACTTTCTACTGTATGCACTGAACTCTTTAAAAGGGCTATATCTGCTTTTTTTTAGGTGTCATATGTGCTTAGACCCATTGAGTAATACGGTGAATAATCAAGTCAAGTGTGATTGATTCACAGGGGCACATCACCGAAAACTGAACGTTTTTTTTTTTAAATGTGGAAAAAGTCACGCTCCATTTCCCAAATTGTCAACCATGAATTTGTCGGTTTTAGTTGTGTTTTGTTTGTGATCTTCAGTTCCTGTCAATGCTGATAGATGTGATTGAGGATAATAAAATAGATGACTTCAGAAAGACAACTGAACAACAGCTTTCACAGCTCAGTACGGAAAACAAACCTTACTAAACCTTCAGTTTAACAATCCTTCTACTGCTTTTTTAAAAGTAATGCATCCTGTAACCCTGAAAAACTGTTGTCACTGTTGTGGCACTGGCCACAAAGCTTTAATAGAAAACAATGAGTTTACAACTAGTCTCCAAGGACTGTGGTTTCCTAAGAAAAGCAACCAGTGTGACTTTTTAACGATGCATTTACATGTTCTGGTTTTATATCCACAAACACACCCGGTTAGAGGAAACATTATCAGCTTGCTGCATTTTGATAAAGATTGGAGTTACCTCTTTCTTTGTTTTGCAGGTTTGAGGATTTTTGTGTTTGTAATAGGGGTTTTCAGATTAACCCTCTCTGACAGACAGTGTTTGTATTGTTTTTTTAATATAAATTTTTTTATTTTGGGTTACGTCCCCACTAAGGTCTAGGGGACCTGGAGACAATAACACGCAACAACCAATAAAATGAGAGTCAGCGTAAAGGTTTGACAAAAGGTTTATTCTTGTAAACCTAGAAAACTGAACAGAAAACCTTACCGAAATACTCTTGTGTGTGAGGAGGAGGAGTCGAAGGATTGTGCCAAACAAAAGAAACAAGCATAACAAAACCAGGCCTATCTCTACGTCTATCCTTTGAAACCAAAACTCAAACAAAAACCCTCACTAACTAAACTACTCAGAATTGGACAAAACAGAATACAGGGGTGGCAACAATCCGCTAACCTAGTGTGTCTTAACATTAGTTATCTACGTGATGAGAAGTGTACAGGGTACCCCTGACTTACCTAACTCCTCCACCTCTCAAC